TAGCGTTGATCTTTCTTTTGCTCACTTGTACAGTTGCTACCGAACTTCTTGTTCCTGCTTTTCTCCTGGACTCTTCGGAATCCACCGAACCCTCGATTTCTTTGGCTCACCTCGCCTCTCGCCCCACCTCGAGCCTTCGAGCTTCTCCTCGCACCTGGGTCAAGGTGGTGGAGCAGATCGGCCCTTGCTTCGCACCCTTACACCTGCTCCTCGGAGAAGCGGATGGGGAGGGTCCGTTTTCGATGGGTTCGGTGTTTTTTGCGGGTTTTTGTTGGTATATACCCGTTGAGCATGTCACTAACATGGTGATCATGTTCCTTTATAACATGCAGTTTCCAACCCCCATTTTATAAAGCACCAAGTGGGTATGCTGAACAAATTAGGGTTGGACATCCATTCAATTTATGAACACATGCGAGGGTTGTGCCTGGTGACGTGGAACATGTCACTTAGCCAAGATGGGAACCCAGTCGAAATAACCAGAAATGGACAACCGCAGCCCAAGCAGATGTTCAACTGGTATCTTTTTGTGGCTTCGTGGAGTTTGCCGAGGCAATTCCGGAAGAGAAGGCCCATGGATCAGGAGGTTTTTTTTGGCATATCAGTCGACTACTAGATTACTAGATATAAAGCTCGGCAGCTGCGGGGCTGTTCACACGAAGGTCAGACAGACTTTGGACCTTTAAGGAGAGCAAGCCTTCTTTCTGTTTTGGTGCTTCCGAGGTGTCAAGAAACACTGCTTTGGAACGTGCGCTCCTTCCACCGTGGAGTCTAATTGGGTATGTATTTAATAGGGATGACGTCTCAACCTACCTTGGCTGGGTAGATGGGTCGTCCGCACCTCCCCCGGGGAAGGAGGAGACGGAGGTCTCCCCACCCCGACAAATGGGCCGTGTATCTGTAGGATGCTGGACCTTGCTGAGGACGTGGTCCGAGATGAGAGAGCAGGCGAACTTTACCGAAGAGATGTGGAGATGAAGAAGAACCTTGTGGAACCAGCCAGCGACAAACAGCGCGCCGCTTAACCTGCCTGGACAGACCCCGTGACAGCGTTTAAAGCAAGGGACTTAAGCTCCAAGGAGGTGGCACCTTTTTAACATGACGGTTTGATGAAGCCTTTGCGCACCTTCGAGTCTTTGGAGCATATTGCCGGCTAAATGTGACGAAAGGAAGATTGACAGGTGGTGTGGAGTCTTAGCATGTATCAAAGCCAAAAAGCAAAGGACACACTGTGTTGTTTTCGGATGCACTTTCAGTTTTAATTCGTCTTAATAACACAGATTTGGTTTCCGGGTCGTTTCTTGCGGGTTTCGTGGCGGTTTCAGCCACTCAGGATGACTTTCAAGGATTTTGATGGCTGAAGCGGTCTGGCCTGTACAGTGTCTCAGATCCAGCACAGCGGCCGCGGCATCCGAGTTCGTCGGAGCACCCAATGGATTTCCATGTGAGCAGCATCTGTAAGGGACTCCACAGTTGTACAGGTGGAAACGTTGGGTGGCTGCCCTCGTGGGTGGGGCACTTTTGGGCACGCAGTGAAAGGTTTCTTTTGGATGTTTGAAGAAGAAACTTTTGGTATTTGTGTTGGTTTCTTTTGCAGAAGGATTGCCCCACCCTGCTGCCCCATCTCTTCCTTTTCCAGTCCTTGGGAAGAACAGGAAGACCCTTCTTCCGCGATGCACATCAATGTGCCATTGCCATCCCAAGCAGACTTTCAGCAACCATGGGTTGCCGCACTTCCTTATTCAATCCTTGACCAATAGAACCTTTTTCGAGACATACTCGGGTTCTGTCTTCGGACGGTCTTCGCCAGCATCGCCGCCGGAATTCCAAGATTGGTCGGCGACAGAGCAGTTGGGTCCAGCTAGTGTTCAATGCCTACTTACTATGTATCTCCTCAAAGCTTTTGGCACAGTCTTCCCCACTGGTGGCGTGGGGGAATAATAGGCCGGGTCGGCTACCCCAAGTCTGAACACCGTTGATTCGATGATGATATACTGTAATATATGCATCTGGGTTCTTGACACCAAGGGGAGGAAGGTGCCAAGAGTTCGGAGGGGTCAAGCAAGACCATGTTAACAAGACAAATCTATGGTATATGATATGTGAATGCTTGATGTATGATATATGTTGATGTCTAGATTGAAGATTTGAAGTAGCCCAACTTTGAACAGAGCCGCTTGCCTTGTGGCGCATGCTTTGGGTTGACCGGCCCCTAATACAGTGCTGCAGCTCAAAAAGAGACCTAGCAATTGTCAGTGACTTCTCTCTTTGGTGTCATCAAGCTGGAATCATTGTGCATAGTTTCCAGAATACTCCAGTATTCTATTTTGGGATAGCTTCATCTCTGGTATCATCCATCCCAATCCTTCTCAACTGCTTTGTGGATTCCTCAAATTTTGCTTCTGGGACCCAAGTGGGCCAAGCACGGCCCAGTGACGCTCCAACCAGAACGCCGCAACGCGCCACGCCGTGCGCCCAACGTCGCATCGTGCGCCGCGCGGAGAGTTGAGACACCTCGCCAGGGCTTGGGTGCCCAGCTGAGCAAAAGCCTCATGTTCGGGATGCCCAGCGACTGCGTTTTTTCGTTTTTCTGCGTTCCTCGTGAAGAGCGGAAAGACGGAAACGGCGCGAGAGAGGAGAGTTGCGAGTTCTGAGCACAGAATTCTTCGGGCGCCGAAGTCTGTTTCGGAGGAGAGAAGAGCACTGGAGACTGGAAAATACTCGGATTGAGCGCCGGAGGTTTGCGCAGAGGCTGCTTTGGCTCAAGCAAAGCCTGTCTAGATTGGCCAAAAGGAAGACAAGTCATACGCGTTTAATTACTACAGTTGCATACAGTTGTGATCAGCTATCCTCCAAAACAGAACAACACCTGGCAGAATCCTCCCAAATTGTAAGAAGGAACAACTTTTGGTTGACCCCACCCAATCAATCCATGTGCACGAACTGTTGGCCACTTCATCTTGGAGGCCGTGCATGTTACATTGACCCTCACAAGTTTTTGCCGGCCAACCTCCTTGAGGTTTGAGGCCCTTCAACGATTGGAGCTTGACATAGCTTGACCTGTTCGATGCTTGCGTTTGCATAGTTACTTTCATCTCAATCCATCTTGTCAGATTGATCTACCCATCGTACCCAGCCTGTCGCCGCCCCGCACTCCCCAGCCTTCACGTTCGGACTCCAAATTGATCCCTGCAACGGATTGGACTCCACTCGACCGATGGAGCAGCCGGTGGGCATCGAAGACGGCGAGCTCCGAGCACAGGGCTGCGGACGCCCCATCACCGCAGGACGGCGATGGGACGACGAGTGCCGTGCGATGACACGGCCGTGGGAGCCGGTGTCGGTGGTCGGGGTCGAAGTCGGATGGTGATGACCTGTTGGGTGAGGTCTTTTTTCTCAGTGATGAATTAGTGTCTTTTTTCCTAAGGGACCTTTTTTCTATGCCAATCCAAGCGTGCATTCACAGTGTCTATACCTTTGAAGTCCAAAGACATGAGTAACAATTAGCGACTCATGTTCCACTGTCCACACGTCTTTTGCATTTTGGTCATTTCAAGGTGCCTCACGTTCTCCTCTTTTCTATAAATCGTGACTATTGTGCTTTTCCGTTCTTTGGCTTGCAAAGCTCTTCTTATCATTTCTTATCTCTGTTTCGCAGACTGGTTGAGTCCCGCAGCTTGCAGTTTTCTTCCAGATCCCTCCTGTTCGTCGGGGTGCCTCACGGCACCGCTGAGCGACGCGCCGCACGGCGTAGCGTGATGGATGTAGTCAGCACGCACGACCAGTGGCTGGGGCGCCCCACTCCAGCGCCCCACGCTGGGGCGCCCAGATCAAGGGGGCAAGTACTTTGGTACGAGCGATTGCAGTGGGGTTTCAAGCATGCTCAAATTTGACCAAGTAGATCGATCGAGCCACTGTGCTTGAGCTTTTTTGGAGAAAAACGAACGCCTGGGATCCGAAAAACGCCTTTCACCACTAAGGGACCTCCATTGGACGCCCCAAACGAAGATCCAGGTATGACATAAAGCACTCAAACGCACAGCTTGTTGGCACCTTCAGCGTCTCCAAAGCGGCGGCATTGCACAACCCGCTCACGAGCTTAGCTTGCACATGTATGTGATGATGTTCCATTGTGATGCCTGACACCCCACGCACTCTTCTTGTGATTTTCCGAATGTCCACCCTTGAACATCTTAACATCGTCAATGAACCGAAAAATCTTCAATATCTTCAATGAAGTTCATGGATGTTTTGTTAATTTGCAATAAACAGTTGTGTTTGTGCACAAAAGTCCTCAACAAAACCTCATGAACCTCAACGATTGAGCTTGGGGTTGTGCTTCGCAGACTCGAGGAACTGGCGATTGCATTTACATGTTGGGGGCAGTGAAGTCACACGTTCGATCCACAATATGCACCACATGCACCAGTGAGTATTCGTGAGTCTTCGTGAGTCTTCGTTCCGCAGGATGGATCTATTTGCTCACCATCCTCTTATGGTCTAGCGATGCCATCGCCACGGGTACGCTCTTCGACGTGTACTTCAGTGACTTGGCGCGTCGCCAGGGCTTCCAAGAGCCCAACGAGTTCGTGGGCATCATGGAGTCCAGTCGAGGCGCGTGGGCGTTCCGGACACCAAAAGACGTGAGTGGCCGCATGCGGTTTGCCTGTCGCCCACAGACTCAGCGGTGGATGGGCCCCAAGAGCCCACGAACTGGAGGCCTTTTGGGATATTCTCTAAGAATCTCTAAGATGCATTTAGGCCAAATCAGAGTTTGTCCCAGAAAAGCGAGTCTCCTGGCAGTTGGTTTATGGATGTCCCGATGAGATTCCTGACTGGTTTCGTGACACTCATGTAAGATCGAAACTGACGAAACACACTGTTCTTTTTTTAAATACTGCACACCGTTGGCAGCCCAGCTTTAGGGGACTTTGGCCCCTTTGTAGAAATTCTCATCATCAAATCTATATCTATATATCATGTCTTTTTAAATCTGGTATTTACGCATGTGTTACTGACAAGATCTTCAAACCTTGTGAGTTAGTTCGCGGTTTACCGCAGCAGCTCACTCTTTGGTTGGGCCCCTCGTTCTAGCACATGGTTTCTCTTCACCAGAACCTCATGCCGAACCAACGTGCGGAAGCCACCAGCGACAGGGATCACTTGTCTCCTGGCGGCCATCCCGTTGGGTTGCCTCTTTGACCGCTTTGATCGCTTATGTGTCCTGCGGGTTTGCGTGCTGTGCTTTGGGCTTTCTGGGGCAGTCACCCTAGCAGTGAGCGCCTTGTTCAAGAAATGGTCGGATCGTCGGATCGTGCGCCCAGCTGCTCAGATGGGAATGTGAACGCACATATTATGAGATACTCGTATATATTATGTCAATGTCCACCGGGGGTCTACCAAAGGGGCTCCGTTATTCTAAGATATTCTAAGTCTAAGGACTCTAATGGTACACCCAATATTTACCCCGCTAAGCATCTTTCAGCCACACCCGTTCAAAGCGACATGTTTGACGCCTCGCAGCTCCCATCAATTTGACTTTGCCCAATTTGACCTTTCCAAACGCCATGCCCTTGCCAGTACTCCCGCAACCTCTCCGGTTCCTAATGCGCCTAGGCATTCTCACCGAGCGCCTACCCTTGGCCGTGCCGGGCCTTGCGCTCTATGCTGTTTATTTCCAGGCCGGGACTGGCAGCTTGGACGCACTGCTGGCTGATGCCCTGCCGCCCCAGCAACGGACAGCGGCCTATGCCACGGCAAGGACCTTGCAGACAGCTTCTCGGGCCTTGGGGCCCTTCCTTCAGGCAGGATGAGGCTTTTTTTTGCGCATCATTTACGGAGTTGAGTAAATGTTAATGGGTTTAGTCAGATATGTTGGGTGTGGTTGAAGTTGGGCATGGTTCTGAGTTCTCTGTGGCATTTCTTTTACCTTGCATTTGCGGGGTTGCTTTTGCCAATGATGTACTAATTACTAATTAGAGATGATCTTGAAGTTGAGTTCAATCCACCGGAATGGCGGCTTGTTTTTGGGCGGTGGAACGAGCACGAAATGGAATGTATCGATCTAATCCTCTATGACCTTTTCCTTGGAACAAACATTTGATACCTTATGTCCTGCCGCCACCATTGTGCGAAGTGGGCCATGTTCCGTTTGTTCTTGTTCCACTGAGAAGCAATCATGATCATCTCTGTAATCCTCCGAAGCATTTGTCCACCCTGTTCCACCTATTCACCATGCTGGCCCCATGTTCGCGCATTGAACCATGCTACTGGGGGTAAGGGGACCCCAGGAATCGTTTTGGACCTCTTGGAGGTCGCCAGTTTGAAACCCTTCCTTCCTTGACCCCTCCTCAGGAACCACACAAACTGGGCAGGTTCAAGGTGGATGATTCTCCTCCAGTGAGTTCCCTTCTGAGTTTGGGGGGTATAGGGCATTATAGGGTCTCCCGGCGATGCCATTGTCCGAGTTCCCATCGATGGTCCAAGATCCCATCTGCCTGTTTTGTCCGCAAAAAAAAGGCGGTGGTGATGTTCATCGTTCCTTCCAAGCAAGAGCTCAGCAAGCTCTTGCTGGCGGGCTATGTGGGCTTGGCAGCCTTTCTCTTGATTTTGTGGCCTTTGAGGGTTCCAGAAGCATCTCCAAGACTTTTGGCAGCTTCTGGCGCTGATCATTCAGAGCATTCTCATGAAAAGATCTTGAAGATTCCCAAGCACATCTTGGTGCCCGGCATAGCGATGGTCTTCAACCTGTTTATCATGCTCGGCGGAGGAATCACACTTAAATTCTTTCCAATTTTTTACCACCAGGAGTACAGACTCTCTGAAATGGCCGTGTGCTTGATCATGGCCGGTTACTGGCTCATGACAGCTTTAGGCAGTTATATGGCTGCTTTCATTTCGCGAATTGCCCGACGTGTTGTCTTGGTGCTCGGGACCGCGTTTCTGGGTGCAGCGCTACTCTTCCTCTTTGTTGTTACAAAACCTCTTCCATGGAGCCTGGCCATTTTTGAGTTTCGACCACTCATCAATAATGCACACTTCGCGCTCAACACAGCTTTGACCATGGAGCATCTTGAAACTGCTGATTAATTAGAAGATATTAGAAGCTATTATTGCCCATATCTTTCCAAGGACCTCGACAAGAAATCTTTTAGGGAATCGGGTTTTCTCAGTTTGCCATCCCCCTTTGCTAACCTGGTCTTGCTGATCAGGTGATTTGTTTTTGTTCCCCATGGTTCAAAGCTTTTTTTTTTGTGGGGAATAGTTGTTTCCAGGAGACTCGGAAAGCCACAATGAAATGGAAAAAGCACATGGTTTCCAGGTTCCGAATCAGCAAATCCAAGCTGAGGTATGCTTTACCCCAGCACCGGGGCAAGTGGGCCTCTCTGGGCTCCCTGAACCGCGCGACCTTCGCCGGGAGCGCAGTGCTGGGTGGCTACATCTCGGATGCCTACGGCTACCGTCTGGGCTTTGCGGTGACCGGGTGCTTCTGCATGTGTGGGGTGCTGGTTTACTCGCCCATGTGGTGTCTGGTGCGGCATCCCTGAGGTTGGCCTTTTGGAGGGGACCAGAGCTGCTTTGGTCGAGCCGAGTGACTCAACTTCGAGACGGGATCCGAGATCGACCGGATCCGACCTGGTGCAGCAGGGGAAGATTACTGTATGTGGCTCAGGATAGTACCTGTTCTTGCCTGCTTGGGCTGCTGAGCGGTACACACGAGGAAGAAAGGCAGCTCCGAGACGGGCAGAGCTGCCGGACACGGGAGTCGCGTCGCTCACGGACCCGGCGACCTCTCGGCCGTGAAGCGGCGGTGTGGGCCATGAGTCCAGCACTGGAGGAAGAACAAACATACTGCTAAAGATGCTAAAGTTCGATCAACCTTTCAAGTATACTGTAAGATCTTTACACAAATTCGACAATAACAAATCACGCAAGCTAGCACCAGCTAGCTGGAATTCCCCTTGCTTAGGTAAGATTTTGGGCTGGCTGGAATCGGCTACCGTTCCTGTGAAGGATCCACTGCTAGGCCTCCCTCCACCCTCCCCCCTCCCCCTTCCTTCGATTCCACCCTGCCCTGCAGCGCTGCTGGTCTGCTGCCTTTGATTCGATTCCCTTGCTAGCTAATCATATGCTTCTCTCACATTCGTTTAGATGGTGTTAGTGCGTATATACATGCATGCGTTGCTCGAATGGATGCTGTCAAAACTTACATTTGTTGGTTGCATTGGCTTTGCTCTTTGACTGGCAGCAAGTCATGGTGATGGGATTATGAATGATATCGATCTAAAATGCTCGAAGGCCCTTGATCTCTGCCAGTTTGTCCACTTTTCGAGCATTTGTTCACTGGTCACTTTGCCTCCTTTCACTTTTGCCACAGGTGGATTCTTTCATCTGTGACTCTCATCTCTCATGGCAGCTGCCATGTCAATCCTTGCCTGAACAACGTGGCCTTCCCCAGAAGAACAGTATACGCATTTTGAGAGCCTCGTGCTCCTCTCTCCGAGCTCTCCCGCATCTTTTCCTTCTTTTCCTTCTTTTCCTCCTTTCTTCCGTTGCCATGCTAGCTTTTCGTCACCAAGCCCGGGCATCAAGTCTGATACTTTTCGAAGTCTTGTAAGCTGTATCTTCTATGGAATGTTAACCAGATGCAAGAACTCGCATTCACCATGAAACTGTTCTTCCACCAGATCCCTAGTCATTCTGCTTTATTCCGTTGGGCCCTCAAGATGGGTTCTCTCCGAAGGCAGTTCCGAAGGCAAAAGACGTGAAGCGCTGCAGTTTGAATGCGTTGGATGTGTAATGTAGACTCTTGAGTATATATTTATATACACAATATATTTATATAGTATAGTAACAGTGATAGTGACCCCCCCAAGACTGAAGAAGCTTTACAATCCACAGGGGGTTTTCTCTTTTTTTTTTCAATCATGGTCGTGGGTCCTGGTCCTGGCACCAGGATTTCGGGTTGAAGAACTCCGTGGCCCAAACAGCTCGTAAGCCATATTGTCAAACGACTGGACACATCGATGGCCCGCTCGTTGGTGCCACGTGCGTGCTATAGTCACACTGGCCAGACACAAGGCTGGCGCATCCAAAAACCTGGTTCACCAGCCAGGAGTCACAAAGGGGTGTCCAATGAAGTACCCCACACTACCTATAGACTTCCATTGGGCACCCCTTTGTGACTCCTGGAGCATGTAACTCTTGTCTGACTTGTTGACCTGACCTATCCACGGCGTTTTCTGGGCTCAAAAGACTGGTCAGCGGCGGCCAAGGGTCGGTGGGTTGGTGGATGAAAGAGGGGATCACATGGGAGAAGCCCCGGTCCTGAACCACCAATATATATAGGATCATATATTATATATAATGGCGGTATCGTTTATGGTACCTGGTACCTGGCACCGACTCCTCTTTCTGTTTTTCCGGCCGTATAGCGGCGGTATGTCACGTCTTCTACGGCAGGTCCGCTGCGGTGAAATATGCCGTCAAGGAGCGAGTGGAAAGCTTGTCGGGGCCCCAGCAGAGGTTCGCCCGTTCCGCGATGTAAGCGGGCCAGGCGATGTCGGAACTGGCGAGGTCGGTTTTCTAATGTGGTCCCACCCCAAAATGCCTGATAACTTATAACACATATTTAATACGATGATGATGTTACACAAAGAAAGAACCAAACACATGCAACAAAAGCAACCCTCCAAAAAGACAGTGTTTTTTTTCATGTTTCATTGGAACATCCTCATTTTGTTGCTTTTGTGAGCCTCCGGCAAAAGACGACCCCACCAAAAAAAGGGACACCCCAAAATGACCAAACAAAAGGCGACCGAACAAAACGCATCAACATGTGATTCACCTCTTGAAAAAGGCACCCTTGTGAGGGGTAATCTTTTTCAGGTGCTAGAACTGGGTACCGAAATGTACCGAACAAGAGTTCGTTTTCATGTGTTACTAGTAGCGATCCAAGACATACTAGTATAGCTTCAAGGACTCATCCAAACTCTTCCAACCGAGTTCCGATGTACTCAGGTTGACGCAATCCAGAGGCGTTCTTCGGGTCCGGCTTCGCCGAGACCCGGGGGTCGTGGAGCCGATGACTCGATTGGGATGTGATGTGCTGGGGGAGTTTTGAGGCTTCCTGCCCCCCCTCATGAATGGGCTGAACGAAACGAACCACTCTTTTGCTGTGTTTCACAACATTTTAGACGGCCAAAACCGGTCTTGGGTGCCTAGGGGGTGTGGATTGGGTCTATAGAAACCTTGGTGGTTTGGTCAGATGTTCATAGCTTTTCATGGCCAGCTAGCGGAAACTTGGGAGAAGTACAGTGGGAAGCACCTCACCGCTGCTGGGAGCAGCAGAAAAGAGCGGCAGGGGTGGGTGTGTGGGTGTCTGGCGATGTCTTGAAAGGATTCGGATGGATTTGGTGATCTGCTGTCGGACAATGTGCATGCGAATTTAAAGCAAACACATGACCTCTATACCGTACCTTAATTATTCCAGGGGGGCATGTCACATGCAGGGGGGTCTAAGGCAGGGACCATGCAAAAACTGCAGATCAGACCTTCCTTTTTCGGAACTCTCGTCTAACCTGTCTGTGAGCCAGGTACACCATAGGCCGCCGAGCCAGAATCTGGTGAAATGTCCGAGAAGCAGCACAAGAGTTGTCTCAGGTATAGTTTGATAGCAATATTGTGAAGCTTCTTGTTCAGGGAACTCTTTTGTGATCAAGCTGCCACTTTGTCAACCTTGTGCAACAGTTCTCGGACTACCGTTTTTCTCGACGACACTCTCTGTGCAGAAGAACTGCCAACAACCTTCCTCTCAACATATCCGATTTTGTGACATTGGATCATCCTTACTGTTGAGGCCCAAATCCAATACTCCTGAAGCATGGAACTTCCTTTCACTGCATGTTGCAGGCATCCACAGCCATCCATCCCCGTGTTTGGCTGGGAGGTCAAGGCATGAGCACAGTATCGCGTCACCAGCGGGTCCTGTGCGCCACGGGACCTGCCGGCGACACACCATGGTGGACCAATCCTACCATGGTCCAATCCCTCTGCTTGCCGCGGAATGCCGCGCGAGCATCCCGGACGCGCGGGTCCGCTGGCGCAATGGCCCGATCCGCGCATGAAGCAAAAGTTGTGTGTGGTCCATGTTCGGTGGAAGATTGTTCACTAAGTCCAAGCAGCTTGATCAGCTTGCCACAAAGGGCTTTTGGAGGGATCCATGTCGGGGGTCTAATTATTCAGGCATATTGCTGATCCCCAAATGAATAGAATCACAGTTTAACAACTACATGTTCTGGATGGGGATGACACGGACTTCTGTCTATGACAGGGTGTCCTGTATATATAGAGGTGAGCTCAGAGAGCCCAGACGCCATGGCAGCCATGTTTGGGCGACCGGTCAGTTGGGGTATCTTGAGTCCTTCGTCCCAGACGGGGAAGGTCGTCCCAATGGACATGCTCTTCACATCTTCAAACTGGGCACGAAGAAAGATGCTGAACTGCCAACAGAGGTCAAGTCACCTGAACTAGGACCCGGAAAACCTAAGGGTACCGAACTGGGATAGTCGAACTAGGGTCCTTCAACCTTTGTTGGTGGTGACCACCTGGTGGTGTCGATGGGGTCTTGGCCTCGCTTCAGCATAATGTGGCCAGACCGATGAGGCCTCTCTCGCCACGACGACGGGTCCAGACCGACAGCACCGACGGGTGGCCGCTCGCGCTGCTCTTCGTGGCTCGGAGGGTTTCGGATCTCCAGCGGGCCCTCCGTCGCCGTGGCGTGGCTCGAGACGATGGCGCCCAAAGCTCGGAGGACCCAGGGTCGGACGTCGCTTCCTTCGGTCCGCCCGCCTTTCTTCGGTCCGTCCCAAACGGGTTCCCAAGGTCTTGTGCTGATGGGGGGTCTTGTGCGTCGGAGTCGTCGGATGCTTCTCATCCTCCTTCTATCTCCGACGTGGGTTATGGCGCCCACGTGGGCCCCAAAAGGTGGGTCACGGGGTCAAAGATTTGCGTGAACACTGGGTGGTCTGGACTGTTTTGGGACTTGGTTGATCCCATGTTTGACTAGGGATTCCATGTCCATGACCATGGCTTAAACTCGGTACAAAGAGAAGTGCATTGGGTGGGTTTGGACGAAACTGGCTGCACCCTAGGATTCCCACCACCATTGATGAAATGGTTTTTAGAAAAGAATCATTGTTTCATTGTTTCATATTGTTTCATAATTTTCATCATATAGGTTAATTCTATTCAGGATTTTCCACCAAAACTTGAGTCGACCATCTTTTTAATAGTCTGGGCAGGCAAAGCAGTGGTCTAATGCACGTGGGCGCGGTTCCCGCGGGGCACTGCTTCGCCGGACGTGGGAAGCGCGCCCTGAGGCGAAGCAACCAGTCGAAGCAGTTTCCCTGGGGTCCGGAAGCCGAAGAGCGGGTGGCGTGGGGGGGATATAGTGCATGGGTTCCATGGGAGTTATAGACCACAGAAAACTCGTCTTTCGGGGACTTGAAAGGCGAAATGTTCCTTTGCTTCACTAAGGAACAATTTA